TTCGACAGAATACAGACCACTTCGAATTATTTTATTCGATTAAGCTAACGTGCCTATCACGTTGAGGTTGGCTACGCCAGGATTCGTTTTCAGCAAGTAGATATCCACACAAGTGGACCTTGTCGGAGCATATGTAATCCTAAAATGTAGTATCGTGCTACAGATGGCGGTCACTGCGTCATTTGTAGTATTTTCTAAGATATTACTTCTATTTATAAGGGGTCGAAACATTCCACTGAAGGATATTGCCTCTATTTATAAGGTATCGAAAGATCCCACTGTAGGATATTGCCTGTATTTAATGGGTGACCGAGACATGCCACTGAGGGGGTATCGCCTCTATTGATAAGGCGGTCGAAACATCCCATTGAAGTACATTACCTCTAATTCATAAGGTTATCGAGATACTCATAATGTAGTCGAGACTTTCCCCTAAAGGATATTGTTTCTATTCATAAGGAGTTCTAAAGGAAATTGCCTCTACTTTATAAAGTGGTTAAAACCTCCCACTGAAGGACTTTGTCTGTAATTTATAAGGTGGTCGAAACATTCCACTGATGTGTATCGCCTCTATTAATAAGGCGATCGAAATATCCCACTGAAGTACATTGCCTCTAATTTATATCATTAAAGGATGTTGCTTCTGTGTATAAGGTAGTCGGAAAACTTCACTGAAGTGCATTGCCTCTAGTTATAAAGTGACCCAGACATTCCACTGAAGGGTATTGCTTGTGTTTATAAGGTAGTGGGAACACTCAACTGAAGGCAATGCCTCTATTTAGAAAGTGGTTGAAACATACCACTGGAGCATATTGCCTCCATTTATAAGGTGATCTAAACACTACAGTGAAGGACATTGCATCTAATTTATAATGTGATCAAGTCATCCCTCTGAAGCACATTGCCTCTAATTTTTAAGTTGTGTGCAGTATAAGCACTCCACTGAAGTATAATGCCTCTATTTGAAGGATGGTCGAAACAAACCACTCAATGTTACCGCCTCTATTGAAAGTGTAGTCAAGACAATCCACTGTTCGAAATTGCCTCTATTTATAAAGTGGTCCAAACATTCTACTGAAGGACATTGCCTCTAATTTATAAAGTGGTAAAGTCATCCCTCTGAAGCACATTGCTTCTAATTTTTAAGGTGGCCTGACATCCTACATAAAGGTATTGCTTTTATTTATAAGGCAGTATAAACACTCCACTTAATGATAATGAGACACCTGCTTAGCATGGTTTCATGTTTACCTTATAAATAGAAATCAAAGAACAAAGTGCAATAATATTTGTTCCAAGAAATTAGTTCTGACATAGGGGTACCAGAAGGAAGCATACTGAGGCCTTTGCTTTTCCTACTATATATATTAATGATATAACCATTTATTATTATTATTATTATTATGGTCTAAACAATACGCTGAAGGTTATCGCCTCTATTTAAAATGTGGTCGAGACAATCCACTGATCGATATTGCCTCTATGTATGAAGTGGCCTAAACATTCTACTAAAGGATATTGCCTCTAATTTATAAGATCGTCGAGATATCCCACTGGAGGATATTGCCTCTATTTATAAGGCGGTCGAGACACCCTACTGAGGAGTACTACCCTATTTATAAGGTGGTGGAGACATCCCTATGTGGGGTATTACTTCTGTTACTGAGGTTATCCGATATATCCCACTGAGGGTATCACCTCTATTTATGGTCGAGCTATCCTACTGAAGGGCATTGTCTCAATTTTTAAGGTTGGTCGAAACATCCCATTAAAGGTTTTGCCACAAAATCTTCTTAGTCATCTTTCTTCTCCCATTCTTTTTGTATGTCCAAACCATTTCAGTTGTTTCTTTTCTACTTTGTCTATAATATCGTTGTCAACGTCCATGTCCCTTCTAATAATTTCATTGTTGATCCTTTCGAGTCTACAACTCCTTCGTAGGAAATCCATTTCTGTCGCATGTAATTTTCTTCTATTGCTTTTGCTTATATCCCAACTTTTCGACCCGTATGTAATCACGCTCTTTCTTATCGCATTGTATATTCTCTTTTTAGTCTGTTTCCTTATGTTTTTTGCCCATAATATCGAATTTAGTGCTTCAATGGCTTGTCTCCCTTTACGTATCCTTTCTGGTATTTCATCTACACCTCTTATTTCTTCCTTCTCCAATTGTAATGTATCGCATGTGTTACTTCCTACAATTAGATATTCATATTTGTCAAAGTTTATTTTTAATCCTGCTCGAATATATTCGTCGTGTAATTTTCTAACCATATAATTTAGATCTTGCTCATCTTCAGCTATCACCACCTGATCATCGGAAAAATATAGCGAATGTGGTCTGTTCTCACCTATCTGAAGTCCCACAGTATTAAATTTTTTTGTCCATCCCTTTAAGGATTAATCTAAATAAATCTTGAATAGCTGTTATTGGTGTGGGTCTGACTTCCAAATTATTTAGTTTCTCCCATAATTGCGACACTGGAACACTGTCATAAGTCTTTTCAAGATCTATAAGCGCTATGTGAGTTTCTCTATCTTGTTGAGATCTCTTTTCTACTGCTATTTTTAATGTAAAGATGTTGTCTGATGTGGATCTTCCCGCTCGGAAGCCTGACTGTTCTTCCGATTGTTTATTGTGAATATCCTCTTCTAGCAAATTCCTTAGTAGTCTGGAATAAATTCTTCCTATAGTTGGTATTACCGCTATTCCTCGATAGTTGCCTTTAGGGCCTTTTTGGTGAATAGCTGATATAAATGCGGTTCTCCATTCTTTCGGTGTTTCTTCCCCATTTAGACATCTTTGATATAATGTGTCAGTTTCTCTAGTCAGTATTTGACAAGTTCCGGATATATATTTCCTGGTCCAGGCGACCTTCTCAGTTTAATATAGTTTATTACCTCTTGAACTTTTTCTATCTATAGATTTATGTATGGGGTTTCTTGAACCAAAGGTGATTGCAAGTTTGATAACTCTTTACTAAATCAATCAAGCAGACGTATTATAGGAAAGCTGTCTCGAACACAAGTTAGATGACCGCACCCAATCATATAAAGGCAGAGAGTCACAATATAATTCCCAAAGATTACTCTCCTAAGAACACTGTTAACTAGACGTTTCAGTCTTAGGAATTAAGAAACGTGAAACGTATTTGTAACAGTGTCTCAATTATCAATATTACGTATTCAATTACCCCTTTAATTTATAGATGGATTAAAAAATGTGTAAGTACTACTTTGGATATTAAAATTGGAATTGCCTGATAATAGTGTTTGTGCTAAAGTTGGTGACATTGTGACAGTAACAGTAATAAAATAATGTTCGAAGACGTTAAATATAACAGAAAACCGGGTTTGTCTGGATCATCCAGAAGGTTCTGGTACTTGTTTTGTAAGTAATCACATATCTCTTTATGATTCTCTCATCAAATTACTTCAGAATAGCGGTCGAGTATATACGAGGGCGCTACCCGTGTTACAAATGAAGACACCTTTTTTTAAAAATTTGCTTTTTTATTTCTCAACATAGTCCCCTTTTAGAAAGATATACTTCTCC